AGGCTTTGAATTATTATTCCATTAATTACACAAATGAATTAAAAGTGTTTAAATTTTTAACTTTTCCTTGCTGTTTGTAGGAGCCTTACACCAAACCCTAGACTAAATGAAATCGCTGCTGCAGTACGTAATTTGCAGGGAGCAATTCAAGAAGATACAGGGATTCCAACAGGTCAGAGCTGCAACGTGTCAAACATGCTGCCTCAACCATTGGAAAGAGCACTTTCCAATAGGAGTCTTTGTGGTGTTCAGGGTTAGTATTCTGGGTCTGTAAAGGGAGTTTCTTCTTTATGATTCTGGGGGAGTTTCTTTGATGAAAGTTTCATAAAATTATTGCAAATTACCAGTACCTTTCAACATCCTAAAAGGTTTGTAATTTAAAGTACTTGTGGGGAATTAGGCATGGAAAGTTTTCAATTATCAAGAATCTTGGAAAGAATCTTTAAAATGTGTGTTAATTCTTTGGGTAAACGTAGTAGAACATGGGTAAATTAGGGTAGATGGGGGTTAATGAGGTAGAACAAAGGTAACTGATAGAACAAGGTTACATAGGACATATCGTGCAACATACATAAAGATTAAAATAGTTAGTATTAATGTGTATTAGTTATTGGGACATGACATGGACTTAATATGAACGCTTTACCAAACTTAAGCGAAATTAGCGGAAAATGGTAAGAGCTGGCTTTTAAAACCGAGGAACTCTGTTTTCGTCGAAGGCATTTTCCTATTTCCAGAGGTTTTAAGGAGAAAATTAAGTTTCGAAACTTTTCAGGGGGTGTACCAAGTTGTTGGAGGTTGTTCTGTAAAAGAAAAGCGGCAAGGAAAACGACACCTCGAAGCAACAGAATAGGAAATCATTCATGCGAACGACTCAAAATCCGAGTTTCCGCGGCAAAATCTAGCAGATATGTGCAGTTATTTAGCTCTGTCCGCTCTGCCCACTAAGGGAACTCAAACGAAACAACTGGTCAGCAGTGAAAAAGTGACGTAAAGGAAAATTAGAAGGAACGGGAAAGACTGGTAACCAAGATTCCCAGGCGCGAACTTCAAGAAATGGCGCCTCGCTATTTCCCTGTCTGTTAGTAGAGTTTTAGCGGTTTTCTGCTCCTTAAAGTCCTTTCAGCGTAGAAGCAAAATGTCTTTGAAAGTAAGAGATGTTTTAGATGCCCTTCAACAGATGCAAAAGAGTCTGGAGTGTTCGATTTGGTATGAATGCATAACTTGCGTCTCATATTAAACTTATGCGACACTTAGTGTTCGCGATTTGCCTAAATGTATTTAGGTGTAAAAGAAAAATTTATTCATTTCATTCCTTTGATTTCTTCATCATATTACAAATTACTTCTTAATAGCCTTGAACTGTTGAAGGATCCTCACTCAACGAAATGTAACCACCAGTTTTGTGGGTAAGTTACAATGCGTATACATGTCAGCTGATACAAGTTTGTTGACAAGAACAATCTGACTTGCTCATATTGGATTTTTTTTTGTTGCATGATATGTAATGTAAGCTCCAGAGCTACACACTTTTCTCTCCTCCACATTTTTTAGTGCTTTAAAGACCCTAGTACAAGTATCCTAATCGACTAAAGGGTGCACGTTCAGACACTGTTTACAAAGGGGGCAACAGTACTGGTTTTCACAGGCGGGCAAAACTTTTTGAATTGATCTTCTTTATAAGATAAACTTTCCTCCAGATCGTCAAACAAGGTGAACAAAACCATCCTCACTACTGGTCAATTTTCCCGGTGCCCGGCCCTCAATGAAACCCCTGTTACATGCAGTTATAGATTATAATTTTTTCTTAGTTGCAGTTCATGCCGTCCTTTTGGGAAGGCATCTAGCCAAAATACCTATTCCTCAGGGTTTATCTCGCTTAAATCTGTTCATGGAGAAGCCCCAAAATTTCCATGTATCCTAAATAATGACAATTTGGAAACCATTTTGAAGATTTTCAGGCTAAAATACAGCCAAACTAATACAATTCTTCCTTCAATGAACAGCAAATCGATTATTTCAAATTTCAACCAAGGTGGATGGTGCATGTTGGAAGTAGGGTGTAGTTAAGGATGGTTCTTATCCAGTTCATTTTCTATACAACTGTAGCTCTGTTATTTCTTCCGATATTTAAGCTACCATACTCTCTGTGTAAGCTCCTGAAGTTAACTCAACCTTGAAATAGATTTAAGCAATACTTCATTTCAACAAGTTCATTTTGTTGTCCCTGATTACGAAAATATACGAGCAAGGTTTTTGTTAAGCACTGGCTGCTGGTGAAATTCTCTAGATGAAGATGCCTGTGGAGGATTTACGCCAGCAATTGTTTGGTAAAGAAAAACAGGTGTCTCTGATGTTACATACCGACTGTACAATCATTCTCCACCTTTGAGCAACCTCACTTGAAACTTCTTAGCTTCAACCCTGGATGAGTCTTAATTAACCCATTTTGTGGTGAACTTAAGCTTGTGTTTATTTTTTTGTTAAAAAAAAATACAGTGATTGCATCAAGCAAGTTCTTGAAAAGAGCAGTAAGAAGTCAAAGTACAAATGGTATTGCCC